ACGGTGTCCCTCAGAGAGGAGGTACAAACTGCACAGCTGAGTGTGGTTCTGCAGATCAGAACCACAGGTGGATTGTCACCCAGTGAAGAAGCTTCAACTGCTTCCTGCCTCACAAAGAATTGRGGGAACACTACAGTCTGTATAAGTGAAGACCATCACRGATAAGAGTCAGCAGTCAGAGTWTAAAGCTCTGTGAATTCAGAGCAGACTGAGGGSTCYSTGTTTCCTCACAGTGGAGGTCCATGTTAATCACGTGTTTCTGGTGTGAACATTAATCATTTTTATATCACTAAAAGTTTCCAACAATCCTCTGTGTCGCCATTGGAACCAGAAGCACAGAAACGTGTAMACACCAGCCATGAAGTTGGTGCGGGGCTGCACACATTTCCACGTTCATTTCAGTTTTGATACATCTAGAGTTTTGCGTGAAAAGGTGCGCACCCAAGCTTTTTGTGTGTACGCACTGTTGAAACATGAGGCCTCAGCTCCTCTCAGCCCTTCACTGGATCTCCTGGTACTCTGARCAAAAACATGCAGGTTAGGTAGAGATACTTCAACTTCCTATAAGCTGGAGTACTTCCAAATGCTGGCTTATATTTCGAAGGTGCTGCTTGCACAATGAATCTCTGTTATATGAGCACGTTATAAATGGTTCTGCACTTCAGAGGTACACCTTTTGCAGGATGTTCCAAAACAATATTAATGGAGTTTTTGCAGAGTTTGTGTTTGCAAACCGTTACCCACACCCCTGAACAAAGCTACAGTAATACCATTTAAAAGAAATACAAAATGATCCGGAGCCATCAAAAGAAATGCTCACACAGATCAGGATTGTTTCAGAGATCAGAATATTAGTTATTTTATTTATTCATGGGAACAAAATTATTTAGTCACATTTACAATATTAGCCTTTGAGATGGAGCCATCAAGGAACGTGTATAAATATCAAGAGTCAGTATTTTAAACACTAAAAACACATTAATGAAGTTATTAATTTATGCGAAGGCTATACCTGCAAACACTGATCATAAGAAGTGATGACTAAAGGAGCTGTGAGCAGATTTTACAGAATTATCCTGGTGTTTGAATATCACAGATCCTCTAGTCAGGTGAAGTGTCCCTGGGGTTTTCACATCTCACTTCTTTTAGAATGCACAAGGCTTGTTTTTTTTAAAGAACGCACAAGGCTACGTATGATGAGTGTGGTTTTGTTAGGCACATGACTTGAACACAACATGTAACACCTCCACAGTAAATAAAGAAAAGCCTCTACAGTWGTGCTCCATGAGGTTGAGAAGATTTGAAAGATGTCAAAAAGTAGCTCTGATGTGTGATTGTAACAGCTACTAAAAAACAGAGTCAAACAGAATCAGTTTGATCATTTTATCATGTTTGCTTAATCTGCTGCTATTATTACTATTATTACTATTATTACTTATTTCAATTATTATTAATATTATTACTAATATTTCTATTACTATTTCTATTATTTTCTATTGTTATTATTACTGTTATTTCTATTATTACTATTGTT